ATATGACATTTACATCCATTGAGGCTGTTTAGAAGCCTTGCAAGACGTTTCATATACTTCAAAATGGCTTCTAAATGAGTTTGATGGTCAGCAGGCCTGTTGTTTTTGTTCACAATCCTTTAGCTTTCAGATCATAGTTCGTTTGTGCGTTGATCTGAGTAATGAAAAAGTTTGATGAATCAACGCACAATGGGTTTAAATATTAAAAATAAATAGCTGTCCATTATTAATCTTGTCATTGCCTAAATTGAAGAGAAAACTAGTAATGAAAAAGTTGTTGTCATGTAACTGATGCATGGGTTTAAATATTAATAATCGGTTTTCCGTTTAAACCGATTGGTCTGTTCTTTATTTTTTTGGGGCCCTTAATGAGAAGTGGACGAGCCTAAAATGTAGGATGAGCAACAAACCCATTACCCGCTAGCCTGCCCATGACCCATGAAATTTTGCCCATTTAAACCCGCCCAATTAGCCCAAATAAGAGATTATAAACGGGCGGGCTTAAATGGGCAGGTAGCCCATTAAACGGGTTGGGCTATGGGCAAGGTATTGGGCTGCCCATACCCGCCCGTTTAAGTTTTAATTTTTTAAAAATATTTTTATTCTTCATTAATTGATAATATTGTTTCTCATTCATCTTTTATCAAACCTTTATGCTTGTCTAAGCTTTTATTTTATCTTTTAGGTGAAAGTTGGAACTTTCAAAGTTTATGAGACTTTATAATTGGTGACTACTTTTATGATTTTATCAGACTTTGATTGTTTGCGAATCTAAATGAGGTTGTGTGATTGAATATGATTGATGTTATTTCATATTTGATTTGCTATTGGCATGCAAAATTTATTGACAGCTTCATAAGGTTACATATACAAAATAATTATACTGAAAAAAAATTTTAAAAAATAAATGGGTTACCCCGTAATCCGGTTAGCCAAACGGGCTGTCCCGTAACCCATTTAATACGGGCTAAATGGACTACTACCGGTTATGGGTTAGCCCATGCCCATTTATAATAAATGGGCGGGCTATGGGCTAACCTTCGGGTTAGCCCACCCCGCCCATTGCTCAGCCCTACTAAAATGTCATTTTCGTCACAGGAGTATTTTGATTTGTCAAAAGATTTCTTCGGGTTCGGACATGGAAGCAGATGTTATGTGCTAAATAAGTTTAATTGTTCCCAACCTAATTTCTTTTGTTTAGATAAGACAAAATGATATTAAAAAAAAGTTTTACATGTAACAATAAATAAATGTGCAAGCAGAATTTTATTCACAAAAAAAAAGAAGAAGATAAAGACGCAACTTTAATAGAAATAGGGAAACAATCATGAAACAATAGCAAAATTTGCAGCCAAGTTGTGGTGGACGAATTAATAGGATTGGTTGGAATACGGGTAAAGGACATCTGAACAAAGTGTCAGTGAGCAATGGCCAGGCTTCTGCATTTGTTAGGTGGAGTAACGGCTCTGGAAGAGCAAGGCTCGCAAACATTTGGTGAGGAATGGCCGTATCAACGTAGACTCATTTTTTGAAAAGAAGATAAAAAAATGATAGTTAAATAATGAAATTTCCAAATGGTCGTCAAAACAAATAAAATTCCAGGTTTAGGTTTAGGTAACCAAATTGGAATTTGTAGATTTATTCAAATGACTATATTGCTCTTTATTTTAAAAAAAAACACCCAACACTCTCACTGGCTCGTAGAGTTGGAAAAATAGACCGAGCCCTTTTAAGCCCGAAAATTATGAGCCGGGCCTAAAAATTTTTCCTCAAATGAAAAACAGGACCTACAAGGCTAGCCTTGTAGAGCCAAAGGCTTAAACGGGCCAGCCCTCGGTTTAAGCCTTTTTATAATTTTTTTTTTAAGTTTTTTGTATAATTCTAATATTATTAATTTTTTACATTGTTGATAATATTTCAAATATTTAGTTATTATTATCATTTTAAAATTAAATTTCACATAATGGTTTGATTCATATAGTTTTAGACAATAATTTGTCCAATTAAATTTTTGAAAAATGGGTTAATTTAGACTTTAATAATGATTTGATTTATATTATATGTGTTGATATTTTTAAACTATATATACTTGATAAGAGAGTATTTTTATACTTATATAACTTGTGATTCTATAATTTAAATTAGAAATTTATGAGTTTCAACAATAATGTTTCTCAAAATAAATTAAAATAATAGCCAGACCGGAAAATTTAAAAGTCATATTTCTATAAAGAATGAAAACTTGATATTTTTATTACGAAAAAAAGTATACTTATGAAGAAGAGTATTTGATTATAGTGATGATGAAGTTTCAAAAGATTAATGTAGTATTTGTTATTGCACGTTTACACTATATATGAAACTCTTAGATGTTGTTATCTTGTTAATGAATGTTTAAATGTTCTTGAATGCTGATGGATATTTATATATGATGATATTTTGTATTTGTAATTTAATTTAATTTATATTTATATCTTTTATTAGTAATTTCATTGGTTTTTTCATTTTTTTTAAAAAAATGTGAGAAATATGAAAAATAGCATTTCTTTTCTTAATGGGCCAAAAGCCCGAGGGTTAGCCCTGGGCCCATTAACTTAAGGGCTAGGTCAAGGAAATTGGGGTATTTTTGAAATTTTGGCCCTATAGGGCCAAACCGGTTCGTATTCCCACATCTACTGACTTGTCACCTCAAGTAATGTGATTAACACGTTTTTTAACGCTATTAACAAATTTGGTATAATAGTTGACAACAGATTTTTAAGAAATCCAAAAAGTGACATTTTTACAATTTTACTAACTTGGTTAACAAGTTTATAATGCTACAACAAGTTTGGTATAGCATTTAACAACAGGTTTTTTGAAATATTCAAAAAGTGAGATTTTTGCAACTTTAATAACCCGGTTAATAAGTCATATAATGATATTAGCAACTCTCATGATGCCATTAACAACTCTAATAACAAGTCATGTAATGATATTAATAACTCTCATAACCATAGTGACTATCTAATATTTGAAAAAATTTTATTGTACAACCTTTGTAGGAAAATTTGGTTAATGATGTAATGAGAGTTATTAATATCGTTACATGATTTGTTAACTGTATTATTAAAGTTGTAAAAATACCTTTTTTTTAATTTTCTAAAAAATTTATTTTTAACTACTATAATAAGATTGTTAATAGTGTTAAAAAGTTTGTTAATCACATTATTGGATTTGAAAAAATTCTAAAAAAATAGATATTGGCCCGTGGAGCTCCGGCAACCAACCAACCTATGAGAATACTTGGTGTTTTTTTTTTTGAAAAAAATTAGTAATATGGTCATTTTAGCAAATTTACAATCTTAACTTGGTCACTTATACCTAAACTGAAATTTTTCTTATTTAGGTAACATTTGGAGATTTTGAAATTTAGGAATCATTTTCCAATCATTTTTTCTTAAATATTTGGAAATAGTGAATGAGCACCTAATACCTTTTTTTGCTTTTATATATTATGAAAGTTTTATTTTGTAGCATTTCTGTTTTAAATTGCATAATTTAACCATTAAACTTAATGACAAGTAACTGCTAGGATATTTTTGCTACATAAATAAATTTTCAGAACATATATGAGTAAAAAAAAGATTTTCAAATGCTGAGTTCCCATTTATAGATACTTTTACAATATTTAAACACTTTTTTTTTTAAAGTTGCATTAAGCAGATAAATGATACGACCCATAAGAGAAGAGACGCTATCTTGATGATGAAATTGAACAAATGTTTTCCTAACCGTACCTTAAAATCTAGGAAGTTCATTTGAGGGAATCTAAGGTCTGGGAACTTCATTTGACATCCCACATTCACTGAAAACGAAAAATAGGGAGATGAAAGACTTTTAAAGAGCTGCCCTGTTTTACATGATAATGTCAAATACATATAAACATATATCTAAAATCACTAATATCATAATCCTAAAAATCATAGCATTTTTTGTTTATTTTTATGCCATCGTCTTTTTTTCAGGAGAAAAAATCATCATATACTTACTTTGCTTGACGTACAATAAAAATCATTAAGTCAATCAAAATAAAATATTACAATCACGTTGCAATACAACTATTTTTTCAATTTTGTTGTTTGTACAATATGCCAAAAAAAAAACTGTTTAGGTATATCAATATTTTTAATTAATATTTTCATATTTTAAATAAAATTTAATATTTATGTATTTAAAATAATGAGAAGAAATATTTATGTATTAATTTTTTATATTAATTGGGGAGATAAAAAATAAAAATAACAAAAAATAATATATTATCGTAAAGTTTATAAAATAATCTAAAATTTATAAGTAGCTTCATTATAAGTTATTACTGCTTTGATCCTCCATATAGGACCTAATTATTGAGTTGATCTTGATCTTAAATATAAAACACATTAATCGTATTTATCAAATTTTTTAAAAAATTATCCTATTGATACTCTTTCAATCATAATTAAGTAAAAGAGAGAGGAAATATATTAAGAAGGATATTATGGTGTTTGGAAAAAAAAAAACATGACATTTTTTATATTTAACTAATTTACCTAATTTTTTTAATCTAATTAAATTAATTAAATAGCTTTTATATTAAGTACCAGAAGAATACTACCTTTGATCCTTAATATAATACCTCGTTTGACTTTTATTTTGGTTATAATTATAAGACCCCAATCCACTTTATCTCTCATATTTATGTATTTTTTAAAAAAGTAGTCTTTCTAATAATGTTAGCTCGTAAGGATATTTTAGGAAAGACAATACCTATTTATTACAAATAACTAACTTAATTTATTTTCTTAGTATTAATTTATATATAGCTCACTCAATACGAGACCTATATTGAGTCTATAAATGACTTAACAATCTAAAATCCATGAAGTAGCGGCGTGGTTTCTGGGCCAAAAAAAAAAAAAAAGAGGAAGAACAAGAAGCTGGGCTTCATTCAGCTTCATGGGGTCGGCTTCCCCCTCTCATAGACAAAAGTAGCTGAAGAAACTGAGAATTTTTTTCTCCTGGACGAAGAAAATACTGAGATTTTCCAAGAATTGAAGTTGAAGTGGTGTGATGTGAGGAAAAAAATTGAGAATGAGAGAGTGAGTTGCTGCCCTTGTTATCAGATTGCCGGTAATGGTTCTCTTCATATCTCTAAATCATACTCCTCTTTCTTGATTATAGGCGGGCTGACTGATGTCATATGGGCTTTTCATGTCTCTAAATCAACGCCTTTGCTGTTACATGGGGAATGATGTTGAGGGTTTTGCGTTTACATTGATTCGTCCTGGAAAAAGATTCAAAAATAACTTTTTTCTTGATTAAATTATCTGATACAGTATGTTTTCTGCTTTAGCCTTTTTCCTTCTTTTGGCATTATGATTCCTTGAATCGGAACTGATCTTTTCTGGCAGGTATGATTCTTTCTTGGTATTAAAAAAAATGGTTACATTGGTGTGCTGCGATCTCCAAATTCACATTCGTATCATGTTCTTCACTATGCACTTGGCTTTTAAACATACCATAGCATAAGCTATGGGAACAAGGTTTTAGGGGCATCCCTTCACGAATTAAAAGCTTCATCGCTAAGACCCAATTTTTGGGGTCACCGGCTCTGCATTTGCGATATTTCTTGATGCGATTGCTTGCCAATTAGTTGGCATTAATCATAAGAATCTCTGCAATTTGGTTGTTTGCATTTTCAGGTTTAGATAATTCTATCACGTATCCTGGTGGAACAGAGTTGATAGTTAAGCATGACAAAGGGCAAGAAGATAACAGTAAATGTAGATGGTGGTGTAGATGATTGTTGGCGATGGTTAGTTCAGAAAGGACCTGCAGCTGTATTCATTACTGTGGCAGTGTTTGCACTTTTGGTTCGTGCAGCTGTGTCACTCCATCCTTACTCTGGTGCTGGACACCCTCCAAAGTTTGGGGACTATGAGGCACAGAGGCATTGGATGGAGATTACCCTTAACCTTCCAGTTAGGGAGTGGTATCGCAATAGCACCACCAATGATTTGAGCTACTGGGGACTTGACTACCCACCGCTTACTGCCTACCAAAGTTTCATCCATGGTCTCTTTCTCAGGTTCTTCCACCCTGATTCAGTTTCTCTTTTCAGTTCAAGAGGTCATGAATCCTATCTTGGGTGAGTATTTAATTCAATTCATTAGTTAGGGTCCTTTTAATTGATACTATCTGAATAAGAGTAAACTAACAATTTAACCTCTAGATTATTACTTCAGTTAGCTTCATTGTCTGAAATTATTGAATGTGCTAGCTAGTCACTAAAGCTACTAAACTCATCACAGGTAGTCATTTCAACGTCCTTGAATCACTTAATTAAAAGACTTAAACGTGTTGGGTTTGTTGTTCTTAGGAACTAGGTTTTATACTTGCTTAGTTTTGGGGACTAAAGCTAAATCTAATAATCTAGTGATTGACTGTTAGTTTCCTCATTTTATAACTTGTGTTTTGCTGATGAGCCTCTTTTCTTTTCTTCTAATTTTTTTCTCCATTTTGTTAATGCGTCTCTCTTTTGCAGAAAACTACTCATGAGGTGGACAGTTTTATCTTCTGATGCCCTTATATTCTTCCCAGCTGTCATATACTTCATCATTGTTAATTACAATCAACATCCAAGAAGCCATAAAAGTAACAATGGATGGCACACAGCGATGCTTTTACTAAATCCATGTTTGATCTTAATTGATCATGGTCATTTTCAGGTTTCCCAATTATTCTGATAGTGTTTCATTTCATTTTTTTTTTCCGTTTTCCTTTTTTTAGATTCAGGTTCAGTGGTGCCTTTTTTTCTTGGGGGGGGGGGGGGGTTTCCATCCCTCAACACTGTTGTCTCGTTTTAAAATGTAGCAATTGTTGTGTTTCAGTACAACTGCATTAGCCTGGGCCTCAGTACTGGAGCTGTTGCTGCTATCCTCTCTGGACAAGATCTTTTTGCGTGTGTTCTGTATTGTCTAGCCATAAATCATAAACAGGTTGATTTCCTTGTTTTTTTGAATTGATCTGAGTTATTTAAATTTAGTATGTTCTGTGGTTTTTTGTTACGACTTTTTCTCTTGATGGCATTTCTTTACCTGTCTGCTTCATTCCATATTCACATACTTGTTATTTGAGTTCATAACTCAGAAGACTGACACTAAAATTGGAAAGTTAATCATCTGGATTCTGCAACTGCCTTTTTTTTAATAGATCAGTGCTTGGATTTTATCAGCTAATTTTTATTCATTCCTTGAATTTGACTCTGATATAATTCGTAGTATAGCCTATAAATTTTCTTGAAGCAATGAAGTTTGTAAAGTAAGATAAATCTTCGTTACTTTTCTGTGAATTGGCTTGACTGCTTCTTGAGTAGATTACATTGGAAAAGAGACACTAAATTATCTTCCTGGGTGTTTATTTGAATATTGTCATGAGGTGAAAAAAACCATAGGGTTGTCAGCTACATAGCAAGCAGTTGTAATGGCATAGACAGCAATATTTGTAGGTAATAAGTATTTTATTACTCTGATGAGATTGTAACCTTTTCGCTTCTTTCTGGTACGGGACAAATGTTGCTGCTTGCCTCTGCAGATGAGTATATACCTCGCACCTGCTTTTTTCAGCCATCTGCTGGGTAAATGCCTGAGGCGTAAATATCCACTCTTAGAGGTGTTAAAACTGGGACTGGTCGTTTTAGGAACCTTTGCAGCAGTGTGGTGGCCATATCTTTATTCAATGGAATCCATTTTGGAGGTAAGTACGATATTGTTGGCCACTAGAAGATGTTTTCTTGTGTTTGACTTTCCTTAACCCGTGGTGCCTTTTATGGTGTTGTATATATGTGGGTGAAAGAGATTTCTTCTTTGTCAGATAACTCCTTTTTTTTATCCTAATAAAAGGACATAAATTAACTGCTTGTGGTACTTGGAACAGGTTCTTTCTCGTCTTGCTCCTTTTGAGAGGGGGATATATGAGGATTATGTTGCCAATTTTTGGTGCGCCTCTTCAATTCTTATCAAGTGGAAGAAATTGTTTACAACACAATCACTGAAACTTCTCAGCTTAACGGCAACAGTTTTAACATGTCTTCCTTCAATGACTCAACAAATAAAATCTCCTAGCAACAAAGGCTTCCTTTATGGGCTACTAAATAGTTCAATTTCATTTTACCTATTCTCTTTCCAAGGTTGGTATAACATTTCTTTATTTTACATAAAATTTAGATTATTCTTGCAGGAAAATTACATTTTACCTTCTTGAGCCAAGGCTTTGTTACAAAATTGATATGTAAACTTTAAAATGTGACAAAACATCTCCCTAAACTTCGGATTATAACATAAACATTAAATACCAATCAAAATCAACTGCAAGAGTCTGCTTTCACTGGTTGACATTGTGTTATGATAAAAATGTGGATATATCTGAGCCCAAATAGGAGAAACTGAGAAAGTGTGTATAAGGGGCCACGTGAGGAGCATGAGGTGTTGTTGCATTTTAAATTCATGTGCTTATTTTACGAGTGGAACTTAATTTAGGGGAGGAAACATAATGTTCTGTTCTTTTATTTATAGTCATATACATAATGAACACCTAATTCTTATGTGTCTTCTACAGTGCATGAGAAGTCCATTTTGCTGCCCCTTCTGCCTGCAAGCCTGCTTGCTGTGGAAGAGCCTTTTCTGTTTAGGTGGTTCATGCAATTTGCCATGCTCTCCATGTTTCCTCTAATATGCCGCGACGAACTGATTCCAGCATATTTGGCTTCATTTGCATTATTTATCCTGATATTCTATGCACCAGGTCAACACAGAAATGAAGAGAGCAATTACTATTTCAGCACAAGAATCATGCGTCTGATCTTATGTGTTCTTTCCTTTATTCTTCACATTGTTTACTTGGTCATGCGTCCTCCAGAGAAGTATCCTTACCTCTTTGAAGCGCTAATTATGAATCTCTGCTTCTCTCAGTTTGTGCTTGTTGCACTCTGTACAAATTTAAAGCAGTGGGTGCTGGATAAACATGTCAAATTGGAACAAACAGAAAAGACAAAGAAACTCAATTGATATTTAACTTCTGCTGTTTTAATTCGTATCTTTCCCTGTTGGATAGCTGGACTCAGAGATCACACGTTTTTATGCATATCAGCTATGGCTTATAACCCTGTTCTGTAATTTTCACTTAATTCTTATTCACATGTGCTTTTGTATTCAGATATTTGAATGTTCAACTAATGTCCTCTCATTGATGGAATATATATATTTAGGTTTTATTTGGACTTGGAAAAAAGAGCAGAAAGTTCATAATATGATTCAGGTAAGGGATATGCTAATCATAAGCATTAGTCTCAATTACCTTGGCTATATTTGGATTGCAGTTGGGGAAGCCAAAAACACTTGGGAAAGTATAAAACTGAGGTTAGTGGCTTATTGTGGCTCAGAAGATTGTTTAGATGAGGCTTCTTTTCTAACTGACTTATGGGAAAAAGTAACTTTTCTAACTGACTTATCCAACGCAATTTGGATCAACTTTTCTAACTGACTTATGGGAAAATTGTGCAAAGTTTACGATCTAATTAGTCATGTGATTTCATTTACTTTAATTAGAGACCAAATGAATTTTAATTTATATTCATGTTTGTCCATTATATATATTTAATTAATTATCTATAATGTATTTTCAAATTTTTTTCCGTAACAAATATTTTTATTTTATAATCTCACAAATAAACTATTTATATTTTATCATAATAATTTTACGTATTTTTTAAACTATTATCACATTAAAAATAACATTTCAAACACTACTATTCAATAAAGTCCATGTCCTTTTCAGTCATTTATAACTAAACTAACTTTTCTATTACTCATTCAAATAATTTTTAATTTTTTCAACTAACTTTTTATAAGCATCTATTCAAATATAAATCGTATTACACTAACTGACTTTTATTCTAACTTTAGTTATAAAAGTCAGTTAGACTAGAAGTTATTTTTGTCTAAAGTCAATCCAAATATACGCCTTGTCTATATGTAAATTATCAATTGCTCAACTTATATAGGCTTTGTGCAAAGTTCGCATTCCCCGCTTATTTCGAAATGGCGTGGCTACATTTTATTTTCCTCTTTTACACAAAGAAGTTTTTTTAAAAAACAATTTGTTCTTCTGGATTCTTCCTCAGTGCTTTCATGATTTGCCTGCGCCGAAAAAGTCCTGTTTTCACCTCGGTTCTCTAGCAGACTCATCCGCTAGTGGGAGTACCTCTAATCTAATCTAATCTAATCTAATCATTGAGAAACTTGAAATGTTCCCACGAAAATTAAATTGGAAAATATTCTGGGAGGAATGAAGTGAACATACTTGTTTCCACATTAGGTACATATAAGATTTGGATGATCCCAGTTTTGACAATTTATTTTTAAAAAATTGCTAAATTGGAACATTAGTTTTTATTAAATTGAGAGTTAAAAATTATTCTTGTTTTAAATTACACCTTTTTAAAAATAAAACTATACAATTAAAGAGAAAAGTAATCATGGGGTCCTTATATTTTTCATTCATTTGCAAAATCACAGCAATTTTTCTCCTACCATTTAAAAACTAATGTTAACTATTGAAATATTGATATTAACCATTAACATATTTAATAATAAGAGATAAAATTACTAAAATTTTAAATTTTTAAAGTAATTTTGTTGAAAAACCTTTAGATGCCCAACGTTATTGAGTGAAAAACTTTCGAAGCAAATTTGTACTTTAACCTTTTAATCTTAAAACTTCAACTTGGCATTACTTAATCCCGGTAGCATTTTACTCGGTTGAAACTTAATTTTTAAACTTAGTGACTCAATGCTATGATGTTTGAAAGATTAGTCCTTGAACTTTTGAGGTTGTCAAACACGCTATAATGTTTGGATGGAAACCTTGAACTTGGTGATTCAATCCTATAGTGTTTAAAACTCTTGATTATATCAAGGAGGTGTTTGGATAGAAACCAAACTATAATTTTAAAAATGTTTTTATAGTTTACGAAATAAATATACGGAGGAGTTTGTCTCGTTTTGCGAAAAAATACTTCTGAGAAACACTTTTAAGGTTGTTAGTGTACCTCAATCCCATGATCTAAATCCTATAATCTTTTTTTTTTTAGCAAAATCTAAATCCTATAATCTAAAAGGTGGGATTCAACATTTTCACTGACTAAAACAGTTGCACCAATTTAAACTAGCATGGCGACTAGCCTCCGTCTTACCTTTGTTATTGTTATTCTTTTGGGTAAACGTCTTATCTCTAAATCTCTAGAGATCTTTAAGATTTGATTCACAACGAAAGTAATATTTATTTAGACTGATAGTCTCTTTTGGATCTCCTCGTTTTCATATAAAATGGAGTTTAAGATCTGAATTTTTATCCAATCAAAATTGTAGGAGCCAAATTATTAATTTTTCCTAAAATAAAATATGCAATTTGAGTAATTTAATAGTATTAATCTTGATGGATTAGTCTAATTTTAAAATATGGAAACAAGAACCTAAGCCCACGGAACGTGTTTCTAGAAAACGGAGGGTCCCCAGTTACTGCGTGCCTGATGACTGTCATAATATTTAATAATAAGTAAAGATAAAATTTCCAGCTCAGCAATCTCATCTGATTTTTCACTGTTCTTGCTGTCTGCATTTTATCTTATCCACCTTCCCCAATCGCTTTCACTTTCGTGAAGCTTCTTGCTTACCCATCTTTTGCTAGCACCCATGCTCTTAATGGTGAATGCTTCCATGCGCACCAATAATTATATTTTGATGCATCCAGCACTTACTAAAAAAAATTTCAAATACGTCTAGTATTTTAAACTATTTTTTAGTGTATCTAGTCATCTAAATTTCAAGTATAAAATTATATTATAAGATATTTTAAAATGACGTACATACAAAAATACATCAAAATGTTAGGTGTTGAATGCACTACAAACTACTCAAAGATATTAGATGCATCTGAAAAATTGTTGAACGCACCTTCACTCCATCTATAATAATTCTAATTATTATGACTTAACAATGAAATAGAGTTTTCATGCATTTTGGTAGGGCTTTTATGTATTGTATAAAATATAAAAAATAGATTGTATTTCTTCCTTCCCTGAATATTTGTCTTAATATTAAATATTATCTTCGGTCCTCATTATAAGACCTTATTTATAAACTACAAATAAAAGTCTTATAATTTGAAGCCGAGGTAATGCCGAAGTCTAGGTATCATTTGAAAATTAGTTTTCTCTTTTTATTTTTACCTTCTATTTAATCTCACAATATATTAAATCTCAATTGGTTGGAAACAAATAGGTGACAGTATATATTAGTCTTTTAACTTTATATAATATTTTAATTTGACCCGTTAACTTTGAAAAATATAGTTTTGGTCCTTTAATTAATTAGGCTTAAATTATGCATTTTTGTTACAATCATAGTTGTTTTAAAAATTAAACTTAATATGTTAACATTTAATAATATTTTATCAATATTGAAAATATTAATGCCATTATTTTTTCTTAACAATTTTGATATTAAAAGGCTAAAAGTATACTTTTTAAAAGTTACTAAATACATATTCTAATCAAACAAATATTAATTATAATGATTTTTTTAACAAGTATTAATTATATCTTAAAATTTGTATTATAACTTATATTTAGAGGGGAAACGTGGGTGAAACTTAGGACTTGTACTAAGAAGAAAAAGTATTATTTACTTGTTAAAAGTAATTTCCTTTTTTTTTTCCCGACACTTGTTGACCCTATATATACGAATATTCTCGTAATTGTTAGCTGGCAGCTTAATATTCTTATAATTATTACATTTATGTATGGATATTTATTGCTGAAATTGCGAGATATTTAAAAATACTTCTAAAATTTTAAAATTTTAGAGCAGAAATTATTACAAAAATATGTCATTATGTGCTTTTTAAATATTGCTAATTGCTATTAAAGTATAGTAAGCAAAATTGATTTAAAATTTTAAAATTTAAAAGTATTTTTGTTATAGTTCTTCTTTTTTGAATGCCGAATTAATATCTAAACAACAATGATACTACCTTCTGTCCTTAATATAAATATTATTTGAATTTTATTTTGATTATAAATATAAAATCTCAATTCTTAATAATTATTGTTACTTAGATATTAAATTAGGCAATCAAATAGGAAGAATTATAACAAAAATACTTTTAAATTTTAAAATTTTAAATCAATTTTATTTATTATATTTGAATAACAACTAACAATATTTGAAAAGCAAATAACGACATATTAATAATTTCTGATCTAAAATTTTAAAATTTTAGAAGTATTTTTTTAAAAAAAATTCCAATCAAATATAGTTTTTTATTTCAGTCATTTATGAGAGTTTCCCAACCAATGACTGATTTTGATCAGTTGTCATCGTTGTGCTTAGTTTCCCGTCAAAAGAGTTCCTAATATCTTTTATCTCTAACGATATTTTCTGGCTTTAGTCTTTTTTTTTCCAGAAATATTTTCTGACTTTAGTTATCTCATACTTATACCGTGTGCTACATTAAACGTTACGAGCAATGACATTTAGAAAGTCTTTTCTTATAATTCTTTTGGATTGATTTGATTACATTTGTGTGAGGGATTTTCTTACAAAAATTGATAGTCGCATTGAATCCATCAATTTCAAAATTTCTATTTATTCCAGCCAAGATTTTTAAATTTCTAGTTGATCCAAAAAACAAGTTACAGATTCTCAACCGATCCATATATTACCATCGGACCATAATGTCCACTACACTGAATCATCGTACGTGATTCTGTCCCTGAATCACTGGGAAACATTGTACCAAAAAACGATTCCTATTCGAAGACAAGGATTCTTCTTTTTCTTTTATTTCACTTTTCCTTTGCCTCTGTCGGGTTATGTTAGCACTCAAGTACTCTCAATTCAACCAAAATGATTCAAATGCACTATTTTCCTCTACATTCCAAAACCATCTTTGTACATCTTTCTCATTAGACACTTAACCCCAAAATTATTACCATCATAATTAATTAATTAACAAAAGTTACGCCAAACAAAAAAAAGGCTAAAGACCCTGTATAAAAAAGCAAGAAAATAAGGTCGAGCCGGTTAAGCCAAAATTGAGAGCCGAGCCGTATCCACATCAAGCCGAGCATTCGAGCCCCAGCTTCATGCCAGCTACTTTCTTGTTAGCCGAGTCACCACCTGAGCCTTGAAGTTGAAAATCTATCTTTCTTTTCTTGACCGGCATCACGTGAGTCTCACGTAGCGCCGGTTTGAACCCTAGCGTCAGCTCTAGCCCGACGTCCGCCCCACCGGCTTCGTCGGCTCCGTTGCTCTGTTTGCGTGCTGATTCCGGTTCGTCCCGGAAGAGCATGGAAGTCTCGGCAGTCTCTACCGACACCATGCTGTCGCTCTCTTTGCTATCCTCTTCCGCCGCCGTCTCCACGTTCGGCGGCGCCTCCTCCGACTGGTGACTCAGAGACGATTCGTGACTCGCGGACCGGTTCGCCACTTCATCAACGGCCGCACAACACACAGTGCATCCACTGCGCGGTTCTTCCGGTTCAGCGGACTTCAACTCCGTCCCCTTGTTCGGCTTCTTGGTCTTCCCGGCTGATCGCTTGAACCGTGACCGAGATTTGACTCGTTGGGCATCGTTCGACCCGACCGAGTCCTTGTCCTTACACACATGACGTATATCGTAAGGCTTCAGCGGTGGACCCTGCCCACTCGCGGCGGCTTCCGAGTTGATCGGGGTGATCGGATTACCCTTCAGCACTGCCTCCACGGCGGCCTGACAACGCTGCCAGTTCCCGGACCATAACAGACCCACGGACCCATAAATCGGGTTAAGTATCCGCCCGCATGCTTCGTAAAGCAGAGATCGAAAAATAGCTGCAAGAAACAGAAACAACAATCAATATCCGTTTGCTTCCCGAGAAAGAGAAAGAAAATGCAAGAAAATTTGAAAGTTAAGCTAACGAACCAGGACGAAGGTGTTGAGGGCCAGCGTTGATGAGGTTCAAGAGGCCCGCACGGCCATAGAACTTAGCAAGAAACACAGTGGCGTTAGCTTGAGATTCTGGGGATTTGATCCACTGCAAGCAAGGTCTGATACTACAATTCTCACTGCAACCTTTTCTGAGAACGCGACATCCATTACAGCTCATCCGCATTTTGCAGAAACTTGTTGTGAGAGATTCTGAGAAAATGATGAAATAGAAACTGAGATGAAGAAGATGATGGTGATGAGAAGATTATTGTGAATGCGATTTGTGGGGAGGGCTGGGTTTGAAGAGAAAGGAGGGTATATATGTGCGAGGGAGGGGAAGGGGAAATCAAAGTAAGGAAGCCGCTGGATTTTTGGGGTTTCAGGGTACGCACCGGTTTTTTCAAAGTCTGTTCTCTTTAACGATGGTTTCCACATTTCAGGAGTTTCGTGAATCAAATACCCACTCGCAGCTTCAGCGTGTGTCTTCGCTCCCTTTCGTGTTTGGCCGGGCGGGCTGACGCAAGATGTACCAGTGCATAGTATTCTACTCATCTACTCTTATATATACGTTATTGATTGATTATAATAAGTGATATCATCAAATAATTAAAGATATGATTATAAACATAATGTATTTTTTAGTATAATCAATGATAGTCTTATATTTAGTTATGGAAAAAATAATCATATATTTAATTAAAACACGGTACTTAAAAAAATATGTTTGAACTAGTAAGTATAAAATTTTTATTTGAAGTAAAGTTGAAAATTATTACACAAAAATGAAAAAAAATTATGTTACAATAGAGGAAAAATCCCCAAAAAATATGTCTTCAATTTTAAAATCATAAATCAGAAATTACTATAAAAATACATTGTCATTTATTTTTCAAATGGAGTCAATTGCTATTAAAGTATAATAAATAATATTGATTTTAAATTTAAAATTTTAAAATATATTTTTTAGGATTTTCTCTAGAATATATATAAAAAATAATTTTCGGTGATGGTTAGGATTAGGAAAGTTAGAAATTTTTCGATAATTTTTTAATATTTCGTAATAGTTTCTACAACCAAAAAATTATGTCAAATATTATAAAAGAATTTTACTAACTCTAATTTCTTAAAATAATTTTCTCAACAATTTGCAGTCTGTTGGAACAATTTTCATAATAGTTTGACTTTAAAAAAAAAAAAAATCAAGCAAGGGACTTGCAAAACAGGCTCTACATAAGGTGCTCTTTAATCTTTTTCGAGATATTTGATAGCTTTACCCTATGAAAATTGAGGGGGATAGAAAATTTTAATAAGTTCATTTGAATTTAAAGGAGTAGTATCAAAAGAATTTTGATTAATTTTTATTATTCTTTATCTTATATTTTTTATTAAAATTTTAAAATTTATTTTTTTAATTTTTTAAATCCAACTTGTTAAATTTTATCTTCCCCCTCTTTGTTTCATTTCCCTTGTTTATATAAATATTTTTTAATATATACCCATATTTAATAGAAACTATATTAGAGATTATTCACATTTTATGATAAATTTAATAATTGCAGTTGTTTTTATTAGTACATGTGAACTATTTAATAATTGTTAAAAAATAACTTATATTTAAGATGAAAGGTAGTTAGATATTTATTACTATTAATAACTAGAAACGGTTTTCATGCAAATTACAAAATTTAAAAAAAAAAGTCTTATATTTAGAATCAAAATTAACTTTATGATTAGATTATATATTAAGTACTGAACGAGTATTGCTTATTACAAATTTTTGTTGATGTTAACATTTTAGATTGACTATTATTACTTGTTTAAGTTTAAATTTCGCACAACCCTCAATCATGTCAGAAAGAAAAGATAATATATCTTGTTAAAAAACATCTCATTGACTCAAAATATCAGCTATTATCTATAAATTTTTTGGGCTATTAAATAAATTCATCTTAAATGTATTAATTAGTTCAATATACTACTTCAGCTTGTAAATATAAAAGTTACTTAACTAATTTAAATATATTAAGAATATTTGTGAAGTTAATTATTTATAACAAATATAATTTGATCTCTCTAAAGTATCATTTTTAATCATGATTATTTTTGAATGGAAGCTCTCTCATGATGTGCAATTAATAGGAATATTTTAGAAAATAAATTATAAATTGGAAAGACAAAGTTAATTGAGATATTATATTTTAAACCAAATCTAACCATAAACTAGTTTTTTTATATTTAAGATAGAATATATTAACATGGAGCAATTTAATGTGTAGGGAGGTAAAAATATTAATTAGGGATAAATACACAAATATTTTTTTTTACAAATTAATTAGTTAGGTTATTTTTATTCTATTTTTTAAGTACCTATAAAATATTTTTTGTCATAAAGCATGTAACCATTTTATTTTATTTTTAATTCAAAATATCATTTTATTCACATCTCACATTTTAAAATATTTTTGTAGTTTATTTAATATTTTAAATATTTTTTGTGTACATCTAATATCTCAAAATTTTGTAATTTTTTAAAATTATGAAATATTTTTTATGTATATTTAGCAGGAGCTTTAGTATCGACAACGGCCGCTAGGGTTTAGGTGGCCATTGTAGTCAGAGCTCAGGCGGCCGATCGACGATCGGTCACCGGAGCTCCGACGATCGGCAACTATTTTTTTAAAAATATTTTTACAACTTCAGTTACACAGTTAATAAGTTTTGTAATGCTACTAACAAGTTCAGTGTAGCAATTAACAGTATGTTTTTCAAGAAATTCAAAAAATAACATTTTTATAACTTCAATGATGCCGTTAACAAGTTCTGTAATTCTATTAACAAACTCGGTATAAAATTTAACAACAAGTTTTTTGATAAATTTAAAAAGTGACATTTTTATAATTTCAGTAACATAGTTAACAAGTCATATAATAATATTAACAACTCTAATAAAAGTTGATATTTTTAATATTAGCTCCCTATGAAAGTTGTATAACAAAATTTTTCCACTTATTATGTAATAATTATTGTTATGAGAGTTGTTAATACTGTTACATGACTTATTAACCACGTTACTAAAGTTATGAAAATGTTACTTTTTGAATTTTTCAGAAAACCTGTTGTTAAATGTGATATCAAACTTGTTAACAGAGTTATGAAACTTGTTAACTGTGTTACTGAAATTGTAAAACTGCTTCTTTTTTAATATCCTCAAAAATCTGATATTAACTGTTATATTGAACTTATTAATAGTATTACAGAACTTGTTAACTATATTACTGAAATTCAAAAAATTTCCCAAAAAATATTTTAGAATACTTAATGTCTATTTGTTTAAAAAGAAGATAACAACATATTTTTATAATTATTTTTTATTTAAAATTTTAAAATTTAATAATTTTTTTTTAACCCTTGTTAAAATAAAGAAAAATTAGGTCATATTGGATTCAGTCTTGTTTGGATAGCACGTGTAAATAAGAGAATATTAGGTAGGACCAGTAGTATAGGGATAGGTAGGAACGGCGAACTTGGATAGATACCCAAGTTGAGATTAAGCGCGTGGCAAGCACGATGGGCGGTCAGAGTCTGGTCGAATCGCCACGTATTCAAATGGTGATGATGAAAATAAAGTAATGGGAAGTGAAAAACCAAGGAGGGTAAGCTCCTGGTTTTCGGGAATGAGTCGAAAACCGCTCTCCCTTAAAACCGGAGACTGGTTTCCGGTTTTTAATTCCCAGGTTCGTTCTCTGGACCATGGGCGGACTTGAAAATTAGAAGAAACTGTGGGCCATTGCTTTTCTTTTGCTTTCTTCGATTAAAAACATTATTTTTTTTAATCTTAAATATAAAACTTATTTTATAATATAATTTACATATTAACTTATAAATATTTATTATACAAATTTACTACAACAATAAAATTTATCATTCTGAAAATTTACTGATTAAATTTTTTTTGCCAAATTTGCTCATTCAATTATGACTGTTTATTATGTATATAAGACAAATTTTTTTCATTAAAATATAATCCAAATCTACAATTGTTGATTGTGAGCATTTTATTAATAGAAAATCTATAGATACCCTTCAAAGCACATTTTGAATTTAGAAAATGTCCTAATTTTAGCAAATAATTAAGTTTAGTCATTAAATTATATTTTGGCCAAATTTACTCATTAAATTATGAATATTTATTATATATAACACACAATTATTTTCATTCAAATACGATCAAATCTACAAAACTACAATTGTTGATTGTGGGGAGTTTATGAATGAACAATCTATAAATATTTTTGTAATTTTTTTTAAATTTAAAAAATGTCCTAATCTTAGCAAGTCCTCGCCAAAAATAGAAAAAATTCAAATAGAACAATAAGTAAATATTCTTAATGGTTTTTTGGCCAAAAATATTATTAATGGTTCTTAAGAATAAAACAATTGTGAAGTTAGTCCTCAAACATAATTTTCCATCATAATGTTCACGTAATTTCACTACTTTTGTGAATTGAAATTATTTTTTATTTTTATGAATTAAAATTATTATTCTTTATCATAAAGAACAACAATCAAATCTAAGACTGATAATTAATTATATTTGATAATAATTCAAAATAAAAAATAGAGAAAATCTCATATTATAAAAATTTTTTCCTAAAAACAAATTATATTTATAGTAAAACAAAGTAATAGATAAATTAAATATTGATGATGAGAGTATGACGCACCATCTTTTCTTATTTAGGGAGTGTTTGGGGTAACCCAAAAATATTTTTGAAAAACATTTTTCTGCAAATCAAGACAAACTCCTTCACATATTTAGAGAGTGTTTGGGAATGCTAAAAAATACTTCTAAAACACATATTTATTTTAAAACTATAAAAACACTTTTAAAACTATAATTTTGTTTTTATCCGAACATCGCCTCAGTTGGAAAATTCTAAATCAAATAAAGCAGCTTATATTTCATTGGAACACTTGTGTCCTCTTTAGAATGATTACAACGAATTAATTATTGCACCACTTGCACTTATCAATTACTCCCAGCCGTCGAACATTTTTCCTTTGGATATGGATAAAATTACTTGTCATCTTCTTCTCATAACCTTTCAATTATTAAACGCTTAATATAATCTCACATCACGTACATCCATACATATATTTGGATCTTAACTCTTAAAAGAATGATTTGGTTTGATTCTCATTTTCTACTTTTTTAGAAATGGTTAGGTATGCTTTTAATAATTACGTGAAATTCAAGACTCATGACATATAATAATATCGGATATTGTGTGGTGGGTCATATAATGAATCAAGTCGAATTCAATATAAATATGTATATCT